CATATTCGAAATAATAACATTCAATATATTATCATATTCAATATAATTTTGTTTCATTTTTCATGAATCTATATATATATATATATATATATATATATATACGTTGTATAATGCCTGTCATTCTTCCTTCCCGCCCCAGCGGCACTGCCGACACTGCGGCAAAGTCTTCTGTCACGACTGCACTTCCAAGATCGTCCACAGTGGGCCGCACCGACGCCAGTCTAAGGTCTGCGACGTCTGCCACACGCTGCTAGTCAAGGACAGCGCCCCCTACTTCAGCACAGAGCCGCCGCCCACGCCGACGTAGGTGGCGCCCCCTGCGGCACTGCCACGGAGATGCAGCGCCCTCTACTTCAGCACGGTGCCGCCGCTCATGCTGACGTAGGTGGCGCCCTCAGGGGGAGTGGTGGCGCCCCCTACTTCAGCACAGAGTCACTGCCCATGCCGACGTAGGCTCCACTCCTCTCCCTCTAATCCCCAAAGGGGCGGTGGCGCCCCCTGCGACCCTCCCACAGGAACGTGGCGCCCCCTAGTAGGGAGACACCCTCGCCCCCCCTGCCCATTTTGGGGTGGGGTGCAGCCGCACCCACTGTCCCGCCCCCCAGGCGATGGTGGTGGCTACCCCGGAACCGGCCACCAGAGTGCGCCATGCCACGGCATCCCATTGGCTACGTGTGTGTCTGGGTGGGTGGGTGCGTGTGCGCGTGCGTGCGCGTGTGTGTGCGCGTGCCTACGTGCACCTGTGCATACGATCACAAATTTGTCTTTATTAGTCTTTGTTATTTACTTGGCTGCATAACGCCTCTGTGAGGGGAGTGTTGCCATGACGACCATCGCGTTTCGCGGTTGCTAGTCTTGTTTCGTAGCTTAGCTTGATGGTGCGTGCGTGCATGCGTGCGTGCGTGCGTGCGTGCGTGCATGTTTTGTACATAATCTATTATGGGCGAAATTTAGATTAGAAAGATCGACTAGATGGCGCTGATATTGTAATTACTGAATTAGTCGATCAGACATTTCGAGACATTGAAAGTCTCGCATGAAAAAAAACATATATCCATTTCCGTCTTGGACGTATTGCCAGCGGGAGGGTTCCATGGAAGAGAAAGAGCCTCCCTGGGTGGTGGAAAGCCTTCCATGGGAGAGAGCTTCCCTGGATGGGGAAATGGAAGAGAAGATGCTTTTTAAGCTGTCAAGTATCTTTCCTTAGAAGCTCAGAAATCTAGACCTACTATAGAGCGTTAAAGAAGTCTAATAGAAATAAGTGATACATACTGTGGTTATGAACTTGTGGTGTTAACTTTAAATTCTTCGGTTCGTTTGTATATTTCGCGTAAGCCTCCGATCGCAGACTTTCGCGGAGATCGAACACGAACGTGAAACTGGTGCAGCTACATCTGTCGTACATTCGACTATTGATCTCTCGATCGATCACAAGAACTCTCGATCGCGGAACGTCGCCGCTGATCGAAAAAACTTCACATTCATTAGAGTCGTGTGGTGAGCAACCCATCCGCTCACGGTCGGTGATTGCCGGATAGAATAGAAGGATTGGTTTACACCATTACAATGTGTTGATGCACCAGTTACGTGCGTGTTACACCGTATCGTCGCGTTTGATACACCTATCTACATGTGTTTGATGCCCACCGTTAACGTTTCGTTGATGCACCATTTACGTGCTGTTGTTGATGCACCGATTACGTGTTTGATGCCACCTTACGTGGTTTGTTGATGCCCACCATCTACGTGCGTTGACACCTTACGTGTGTGATGCCACCATTACGTGCGTTTGATACACCATTAGTGGTTGATACACCGTTACGTGTGTTGATGCCACCATTACGTGTGTGATGTACCACCAATTACGTGTGGTCAAGTGCACCATTAACGTGCGTTTGACTGCCACCTTACAGTGTGTTGTTACACCGTTACGTGTGTTTGATACACCATTCGCCGGCCTGCGTCAGCGATATACACCGATTACAGTGCGTTGTTTACACATTACGTGCGTGGTGATATCCCGGTTACGTGTGTTGATGCACCGTTACGGTTGTTTTGAATGGCACCGTTACGTGCGTTGATACACATCTCACGCTGTGTGAGTACACCGTTACGATTGTGTTGATTACACCATTTACGTGTGTGATGCACGATATTACGTATCGTTGATGCACCATTACGTGTGTTGACTGCCCCATTACGTGCGTTTGCATGCACCATTACGTGCGTTGATCCCACGTTAGTTGTGTTTGATACGACATTTACGTGTGTTGATACACCGTTACGTTGTTGATACACCATTACGTGTGTTACTGGCACCGTATGGCAACGGTTTCGTTGAATGCACACATTACGATGTGTGAGTACACCATTTACGCGGCATGCGATGTGTTGCATACACCGTTACGTGTGTCGATATACTGTTACGTGTGTTGTTACACTGTTACGTGTATCGATGCACTGTTACGATGTAGTGATACACCATTACTGTGTGTTGATACACGTCTGACTGTGTATTGATACCCTATACGCTTGTATTGATACACCGTTACGGGCCACGTGTCCGCCTTGCCCTGGGGTTGTGTTGATACACCACTTACGTGCGTCTGATACACATTACGTGTATTGATACACTCTGATTACGTGTCAGTTGTACACTATTACGTGTATTGATACACCATTACGTGTGTTGATACACGCATTACGTGCTGTTGATGCGCACCATTGTTCCGTGCGTTGATACACCATGTTACGTGTGTTGATTGCACCGTTACGTGCGTTGCAATACACCAATTTTACGTGTGTTGATACACCGATTACGATGTGCGTCCATGGACCATTACGTGCGATTGATCACCATTACGTTCGTCTACACCTTAGCGCTGTATTGACTTACCACTTTATTACGTGTATTGATACACCGGCGTGTACGTGTGTTGAATTTACACACGTTACCGTGCGGTTGATACACCATTACGTGTTGTTTGATGCACCGTTACGTTGCTCTTTTGATACACCATTTACGTGTGTTGAGTTTCACCGTTACGTGTATGCATACACCATTACGTGTGTTGATGCCCGTTTAACGTTGCGTTTGATAGCACATTACGTGTGTTGATACACGCGTTACGTTCGTGATGCACCATTACGTGTAGTTGACTGCCCCACATGTACGGTTTGGTTTGTTTTGGGGGATTTTTGACCCCCACCATTTTTAGGTTTGTGTGATACACCGTAATACGTGTGTGTTGAATACAGCCATACGTTGTTGAATGCACCATTTACGTGTATTCGATACAACGCATTACGTGTATTGAATACACCGTTTTTACGTGTGATTGATACACCATTACGTGTGTTTGATTACACCTTACGTGTTGTCGATACACCGTTACGTTGCGTTGATTACACCATTCACGTGTGTTGATGCACCATTACGTGTGCGTTGAATACACCGTTACGTGTGTTGATGCACCGTTACGTGCGTTGATACACCATTACGTGTGTTGATGCACCGTTACGTGCGTTGATACACCATTACGTGTGTTGATACACCGTTACGTGCGTTGATACACCATTACGTGCGTTGAATACACCATTACGTGGCGTCGACTACACCTTACGTGCGGTTGATACTACATTACGTGTATTCGTATGCACCTGTTACGTGCGGTTGATATACACCATTACGTGCGTCGATACACCGTGTACAGTGCGTTGATTACACCTTATCTGTGTGATACCCATTCGTGTGTCGACTACACCAGTTACGTGCTGTTGATACGACCATTACGCTGATATTTGATGCTGGCACCGTTACGCTGCGTTCAAGCATACCTTTACGTGCGTTGATGACACGCATTACGTGTGTTGTACACGCATTACGGCCAACGGGTAGGTCGATACACCGTTAGTGCGTCCGAACACATTACGGTGTGCGTTGATACACCATTACGTGTATTGATTGCACCGTTACGTGCGCTTGATACACCATTACGATTGCCGTCGATTACACCGTTTACGTGCGTTGATTCACCATTCGTGCTTTGTGTACAACCATTACGTGTGTCGAGTACACCGTTTTACGTGCGTTGATACACCATTACGTGTGTTGATGCACCGTTACGTGCGTTGATAACACGTTCACGTGCGTTTGAGTACCCATTACGTGTGTTAGATTAACACCATTACGGTGTGTGATACACCGGTTACCGTGCGTTGATACACAATTCGTGTGTTGATTGCCACCATTACGTGTGTTGAATACACATTTACGTGTGTTCGATGCACCGTTACGTGCCGCTTGATACACCATTACGTACGGTCGATACACCGTTTTAGTGCGTTGATACCATTACGTGGCCGCCCCGTCGAATCACCGTTACGTGTTGTTGATGATACACCATTACGCTGCGTCGATACACCGTTACGTGTGTTGATTTACACCCATTACGGTGCGTCGAATACACCGTTACGTGTCTGTTTGCATAGCACCATTACGTGCGTCGAAACACCGTTACGTGGTCGTTTCTGATACCTACCATTACGTGTGCTTGAATGCACCATTTACGTGTAATTGAACTGCACCGGTACGTCGCGTTGATGCGACCAATTACGGTGTGTTGATACACCGCTTACAGTGCGTTGATACACATTCGTGGCGTCGATACTACCGTTCGTGTGTTTGATTACACCATTACGCTGCGTCGATACCCGTTTACCCGTGCGTCGATACATCTCTCCCATCTTCTA